CCTGCCAGGCGGGGGACCCCGCGCCCGGCCGGGCGGGGCGGGGAGACGGTTTCTCTCTCTCTCTCTCCCTCCCTCTCTCTCCTCTCGTCTCCTCTCGTCTCATCTCCTCTCCTCTCTCTCTCTCTCTCTCTTACACACACACACACTCTCGCACACACACGCACACACACACGCACGGAGCATCCTCCCGTCAGGTCTCCTGGTCCAGCCCCTCCCGCCGTGCCTCCTGCTTCCTGCAAACCTTCGCCTTCTCTCTCCGAACTCCCCCACCCCCACCCCCACATTCCCTCCGGCTCCAAGACCCCCCTCGCTGACCCCTACCCCTACTCCCGGGATGGAGCGGATGGAGCCAGCCCGGAGCCCCCCGAGGCCGGGGTGACTGTCCCCCGCCCCTCTCCCGCCTGGCCCCAGCCCCAAACACCATGGGCCTGAGGGGTTTCTGAGGCGCCGGACGCTGAAGATGACAGATGCTGGAGGTGAGGTATTGGGACCCCAGGAGCCCCAAGTTGGACGGGGAAGCGGAGCTGGGGGGGTCTCCGGCTTGCGGTGGGAACCCGAGTGGGGTTGGATAGGGCGAGGAGACAAGGACCTTTCTTCCCCTGTGCCTAGGGCGGCCCGCACAGAGCTAGGGTTCTGGGCTGTTAGGAGATGGGGTGGAGATAGGATTTGTGTCCCTAATCCTCTCCCTCTGCCCGAGGTCCGGAGAGATTAATTTTTTTTAAAAAAACTGGTGTTGGGGGAGGGGGGAGAGCTTAACCCCTTCTTGCCTGGTACGGAGTTGGACTAATGGATTGGACAGAACTAGCCACTTGGCTCTGATTGGGCGACAGCGGCCCCGAGAGTGCAGAAGGTGCCCTGTCCTCCACCCCCACCCCATCTCCAGCGGTGCTTGCTGGATGCCCCCAGCTCGGGCCTTATGGGAGGGGGTCGCCCCTTTCTCTAGCTCCACACTGCCTCCCCCTGCCCCAGCCTCCTCTCCCAAGCATATCCCTCCCCAGTCGCACTTCTTTCTTGCGCTCCTTCTCTTCCAGGGCCCCTTTCCTCTCTCCTTCCCCTCTGAGGGCCGCCTCTCTCCCGGCAGCCGATTCTGCTCCTCTGCGCCCCTCCCCCGGGCCTCACTCAGGGCTGCTGGAGCCCTGTCTCTACCGCTTCTGCCCCTGGCCCCGCTGCCGCCGCCGCTGCTCTCAGGCTCATCTCCTCCGTGTTCTTTCTTCCTCTTCTCTGCAGCTCTGTAGACTGACTCTCCACCAACCTGTCTCTGTCCTGCTCCCCATTTCCTCTCCAGGGCTTGCGTACCCTTTCTTTGTCTTTCTCCTTCCCCTGGGTCCCAGGAAACTTAGAGTGCACCTGCCTCCCTTTCTCATAGGGAAGGGTCAAAGGTTATTGGTGTTCTTCCTCCGGGAACTGGGGGAAGTTTTGGGAGGAAAGGGTGGCCTGGTAGAGTCAGAGCGAGACTGCATCCAGAGAACAGGTTCATTTCCACCTTGTAGTGGCTACCTGGTTTGAATGTGCATGTATGAGTGTGGCGTGTGTGTGTGTGTGCGTGTGCGTGTGTGCGTAGGAGTGTAATGTTGTAGGAGTGTAAGTGGGGGGGGGATGTCTAATTTTCCAAGGTTCGGTGTTGGAAGGGGGGGTGGGAAGGGCCTGGTGACATTCTGATGTCATGCTTCCCAGAGTTTCCCAAGGGACAGCGTAGGGAAGGTCCCCCATACACAGCCCAGGGAGTTAGTTGTTGAAGAAAGCAGTTTGTGCTGAATCAGAATTCATTTGGCACTGATGTGAGCTGGAGGCCCCAGCCCACCCCAGAGCCACCTGAAAGAGGATGGCATGCACAAGAGGGTCTCCACCCTGAACTGGGACCTTGAATAAAGAGCACATGGGCTCTCCATTCTCAGGTGGTCTAAGAGAGGAAGCACCCTCAGGGAACCTCCATTCTGATGGGAGAGGCAGTTCTTATCTTCAGAGATTCCCTCTTCTGATGGGGAATACTGCCCCTCCTCCTCAGGAGCTCCCATCTGATGTGGCGGAGATATGACCCAGTTAGGGAATCAATGAAGTATGAAAAATTACTCATTTCCTAGTGGTGGGGAAGAGTGGATTTAGACATTATATAGGCAAATGAGAGGAGTGAGGGCTATCTAGGACAGCTTTCTGGAGGAGGTGGCAGCTAGGTCCTGGTCAGATGAGCTTTGCGATCGAAGGAGGGAATTTGGTTCATTCTTAGGGGCAGCCTCTCTTCCCATCTACCCCTTCAGGACAGGAAGAGAGGTTCTAGAACTTCTCTGTTACTAGCACCCAAGGTTGAAGAATGGCAGGAAGGTTCCTGGAGGGCCCACATCCCTGGCTCCTTCTCACACCTCATTTCCTGCTTGCAGCCCCAAGCGTCCACAGAGCTTGGGGTGGAGGTAGGTTTGAAGCGTATCTGGTCCTAGCGAGTATGGATCAGCTCCCTTACCTCTACCCCCGTCCCTTCTCCCAGCAGTGTTCTTTCCTCATGAGCAGGTTCCAAAACTGCAGATCACCACCCAGGATAGAGCTGAGGGGCAGGAGACTGGGGTCAAGGTCGAGTTCTGCCTCTTATCTCCTGCATCTCAGTTTTCCCATCTGTAAAGTGGGGATACTAAGAATCCCAAGCCTGGACAGTTCACAGTGAGATGATATCTATGTAATAACAGAAGAGGAGAATCGGAAAAGACCAAGCAGGCATGTGGCCTAGCTTTCCTACACCTGTCAAATGGGTGGTCTAATGCAGTGCTCTGCCCTTCTCATGGGGACCTGAGTGTTAGAAGTAATTGGAGGTCATGTCCCAGGCATGCAGCATGCCCCTGACCCTGAGCTTCCTCCTTCTCCCCTCATCTGGTATTCCCCTGCTTCTCTGACACCCAGGCTTTGGTTTAGGGATGCTGCAATCCTACATCTGCTAGGAAGCCTGCCCAAATTGTTCCAGCTACATATATCCTGCTTTCCCACCTGCCCTTCCTTTCTTACTTCCCACAAACAAAACCAAACCCCTATCCATCCATATTTCTTCCCAGAACATATTTGATGCATCATAGAGATTTGGCTCTACACTGTTCTGCTATGGGTACTCTTTATACCCTTCTGCATCTGTGAGTCTGTCTTGAACTGTGAGAACTGTGACTTTGTCAAGAACAGTGGCCCTGTTGATGATGCCAGCTTCCTGAACAGCTCATGTTCAGGAAGACGGGTGGTGAGTGCACCAGTGATGAGAGTGGGGGCAGGCAGGACTGGGTGATGGACGGGAAGATGGATGGGTGGATGGTATGAATTGACGGATGTAAAAATGGGTGGATGGTTGGATGGGGTGGATGGTGGATGGATGGGTGGTTGGAAAGATAGATGTTTGGACAGATGATGGATGGGTGAATGAGTGGACGGTGAATAGGCAAGTAGATGCATGGATAAGTAGGGACGTAAGTAGGTGGGTGGATGGAAGAACCTGGGTTCTCATTCTGATCTTGCCATTAACTTACTATGCGATCTTAGATCAGTCATTCTCCTGTCTCTTTCTTTATCTGTAAAATGAGAGGATTGGATTTAATAGTCTCCAAGATTTCTCCCAGACTTGATATTGGACAGCTTATGATGATTAAAAGCTTTTAGGGAGTGCTAATGATGGAAGGGCCCAAGACAGTGACGGAGAGAAGTTCAGTGACCCGTGTGGAGGCACTCAGCAAATCAGCTTGGACCAGGGCTGCAGGACAGCCTGTGTCTATACCCTGGACTTGCTTCTACCTCCTGCCTGCCCCAACAATCTGGGCTGTGGTTCAGATGATTTCTCTTTCAGGGGTCAGAGAAAGAGTTGTAAGGAGAGGTGAGGGCCAGAAGGCTAGGAGCAGGTAGCCATTGGCAGCTCCCTTGCCTGCACCAACCTGAACCTCTTAACCATGGTCTTTTTTTTCCTCTTTCTCCTCTTGTCCTCCCAGCTCTCTTGAGTCATGGCTTCTTCAAAGCTCCGAGAACCTGCGGATGAGGTTTTCGGTAAGTTCTGTTTGGCTCTATCTCTAGCCAAGGCTGTCGGGCCTTGGGGAAGAGGAGTCCTAGTAACTTCAGTGTGTGTGTGTGTGTGTGTGTGTGTGTGTGTGTGTGTGTGTGTATTTTGGCCTTACAGGCTGATTTTTTGTCACCATTATCTGAGTAGATATCCAATTACATCAACGATGATAATAAGGGTCCCCATTTATTAAGTGCTTCTCTCATGCCAGATACTAGGCTAGCACCCCCATTTCACATGCACTGTATCATTTAACCCTCACAACAAGGCTAAGGAGTGTGCCCACTTGTCCTAAGCCTAGGACACGGAGCACAGAAGTGACTTGCTTTAAAGATCACGCTGCAGGTTAGTGGCAGAGCTGGGACTAAAACTCCAGACTGCCTAACTCCCTACTGGCAGCCACTGTGCTGTACACCAGTATTCCCCAGCACAGGTGACACAGGTTACCTCCGAGCTGCATAAATAAGGGACCTCATCTGCATGGATGTGCAGGGAAATCAAAAATGCATAACACACACTCAGCATCTACACCCCCAGGGGCACCCCCAGACCGACCCCCCTGTGTTCTCACTGGGGTGCATGGACGCCCCCACCAACCTCATCATTTACCCCCTGCAGTCTTTCTATTGTGTGGATTAGAGAAAGACCACTGACGGGGCAGAGTTCCCAGCATGCACTGGGGTGGAAAGGCTGTTTACCAGCTGGGTTTGGTGGAGGAAGGTGGAGGGCGCAGTGGAGGCAGAAAGCTAGGGGATGCAGCCCTCAGGACTCTCAGCCGGGAGGGGCTCCTAGCTGTGGAATGCCACAGGGCCCCCAGTTTCTCCACCCCTGCCTCTCATCTCTACCTTCCTTGCCCTCCTCCCACCGCCCCGCTCACCTCTCTCTCCCCTGTGGCTGCCACAGGCCCTGGCAATGCCAACGCCGCCCGCCGGAACTGCTGCCTCCTGGCTCCTGGGGAACTGCTTTCCGGCCTGGCCTCCCTGGGGCCTGTGCTTGGAGGCTTTGCCTCGGGGACGCCCCCAGCCTCGAACTGTCTCTGGGCCTCAGACTCTGAGTCTCTCCATCCCCACGCAGGCCCAGCCTGACCCCTGGCCTGGCAGAGGCGAGCTCCCCGTTCCTTGGGCTTTTTGGCCTCCGCTCCCCCACCCCCCCACCCTTCCTGTTTTCCTTCTTCCTGACCTGCTGAGGTAGCTGCCTGCCTGGCGGCCTTCCTGAAGAGAAAGGCGATGAAATATTCATGACTTCCCCCTGCCCAGGGCCGGGCTAACTCCCAGGGAGAGAGGGAGAGGGAGAGCAAGATGGTGGGAGGGATGGACAAGGTGATGAGGGCCTGGTAGAGTAAGGGACCAGAGGAGAGGCTGGCCCCACCTTGCCTCAAGAAGCCCCAAGCCCCTTAGGAGTTCCTTTGCTCCCTAGACCCTCCACGGTAAGATGACCACGGTTTTGATGTGGCCCAGATTCAGGTGCAGAGAGCCCTTCTCCATGGCCCAGGGCGGCTGGGCACCAGCTGCGCGCTGGACTGGTCGAGGAGGCTCATGAGCTCCCTTCCAGGAGCCCTGCCTACTGTCCTTAACTCCCTCTGCACCCTGGGCCAAACTTTCCTCTCCAAGGAAAGTAAGGGCCTGTAAAGTGAGGGGTTGGACTCACAAGTCACTCCCATCTCTGCCTCAGAGGATGTAGAGAGGGCTAGGTAGTTACACACTGAGCCTCTGGAGCCGGAGCCCGAAGGCCTATAACCCTGGCCTGCTCTTCACCAGCCCTATACCCTCAGGCAAATTAAGGCTGCCTTGGGGATTCTTGGAGTCTCTTCCTCCTTGGGTTGTGGGGAGGTTTAAACGAGCTAGTAACTGGAAAACACTTAGAACACTCATATACACATACACTCTCTCACACACGTGTCACACACACACTATCCTATGCCTGTGTTAGTGCAATGAACGAAATAGAGAAACGTCTGCCTTCTCGGAGCTGACGTTCTAATGGGTGGAGAGAGACAATAAACTAAATTAGTAAAATATATGGTATGCCAGAGAATGACAAATGATATAGGAAAAAATTTAGCAGTGGGGGTTTGGGGGGCATTCTAAATTGGGTGGTCTCTCAGTGAGAGAAAGCATTTAAGCAGAGACTTGAAGGAGGTGAGAGAGAGAACTGTGCAGAAATCTGTGGCAAGAGCCTTGCAGGAAAGGGAAGAGGAAGTGCAAAGGCCCTGAGGTGCAGGATAGCTGGTGTAAGGAAGAGCCAGGAGGCCAGGGTGGCTGGAGCAGAGGATAGAAGAGGGAGAGAGTCGCTGAGCTGCCTGAGTCTGGAGGCCGTGGTAAGAACTCGGCTTCTCACTCTGTGAGAGCTGGAAGTCACTGGAGGGTTCTGAGCGGAGGGAGGAGTGACCTGGGCTGACATGTTTTATCAGGATCACTCTGGCTGCTGGGTTGAAATTAGACCGTAAATGGGAAAGGGAGGAGGAGGGAAGACCAGCCGGGATGATCTGTAATAATGGAGGCAAGAGGTAGCAGTGACCTAGACCGGGAATGCTGTGTGTTCTCCGTCTCCTTTCCTCTCCCCTCCTCCTTCTCCCCACATGTATGCATGTATGTAAGTGCGTGTATATACAGACACATATACACAATATCTTACTGTGGGAAGTCAAAAGTAGAGAGACTAGCACAGTGTACCCCATCATACGCTTACGTACTCATCTCTCAACCTCAACCATCATCAACTCATCGACAGTCTTGTTTCATCTACATCCCCTTCCACTCTCCACTCCTAGTCTCCTGGATTATTTTGAACCTAACCCAAAACATCATGTCATTTCACCATAAATATTTCAGCATGTCTAGATATATTTCCAAAGTAGAGCTAACAGGAATTGCGGATGGATCAGTTTGCAGGGTGAGAGGGAGAGGGAGGAATCACGGGTGACTCCAGGGGTTTGGCCTGAGCAGCTGGAAGGATGGAGACGCCATTCACTGAGCTGGGCAGACCGGGCAGCTTAGGGGGTAGGGAGGTCAGGAGTCCAACTGTGACATATACGTTGAAGATGCCCATTGGACATCCAAGTGGAGGTGTCAGGTAGGCAGCTGGACACATGAATTACCAACTGGGTCTGAGAGGAGTGACTGGGTGGACAGTGGGGCCTTTCAGTGAGCCAGGGACAGAGAACGAGTTTGAGGCAAGGTGGTGGGTTCGTTTGATGGGTTGAGTTTGATTTGAGGTCCCTGGGTGATTTTGACATGGTAAGTTCCCTGGCAGGTGCTGAGGTGCCCAGACTTGGAATTCAGGGGAGGGATCAGAGTTGGAAATAGGTATAGGTAGTAGTTCAGCCACTGGGGTGGCTGAGGGGGTGTCTGCAGACAAGAGAAAGAGGAGCAGGCAAGGCAGGGCCTTGAGTGATGGGATGGGGTCCCTGAGATCATGACGGGTGGAGTGGTGAAGAAAGGTCTTAACCCATGCTGAGGTCTGGGAAGGACCTGTTCTGCCTGGAGGAGCTCAGCGTCACTGCAGAGTGAAGGCTGCATTCTCCGGTGGAGCAAATGGAAAGTGAAACTTGAAGCAGTAGGGTCTATGCATAATCTGTTGGCTTTGCCTACTCTTCCGCCATGTCCTCATCCAGGACCCAGCCCTGGGCCACGGACCCCAGGACGGGAGAGACAGGCTTCAGGGGTCTGTAGGCTTTCCTCTCTGCCACCGCCACTGGCTTTTGGGGGTCCCTCTGCTCCAGTTAACTGTGAGCCCTCTAGGTGCCCAGCAGTGCTGTCTCTGAGTGTGACCTCGAGCATGGCACGGCAAGCCAGTGTCCCCAGCAGGGCCAATCTCTGGAGCTAGACTAGCCAGGCTCAAATCCCAGACCATCGCTAGCTGCTGGCCTCAGTCAAGAGACTTAACCTCTCTGATCCTCAGTTTGCTTAGCTGTGAAGTGTCCATAACAGCTGTCCCTAGCCTGCGTGTTGTTCTGAGTAGACAAGGTGTCGTATGTATGTTCTGGCGTGGAGCTGGCACTTTTTCAGTGGTAGCAATTACAACCATGCTCTCTCCGGCCTCATCCTCCAGTCCTTCCCTCCACAAACCTGCCCTCCCATTGCCCTGGAGGTGCCCGCCCCCAGCTTCCCTTCCTCCCAGCATTGCACAGACCAGTTTTGCCAACCTCCTCTCTTGTGAACTCCCATCCAGACCTTAAGACCCAGCTTTGGTGTTTCCTCCTCCAACCCATCCAAACAGAGCCATCCTGTCCTCTGTGCCTGTGAGAGGTTCCATCACACACTGTGTGTATGAGCTGATATGTCTAGCTCCCTGCGAGACTGTGAAAGACCCAGCTCTCCATCTCATAGGACTATCAGTGCCCTGCGCTTGGACACGTTTGTTGAATGCCTGGGTGTGAGTGCAGGTGGCCACTTGAGGTGGGCCTCCGGGATTGCTGTCCTCATGTGTCTGGTTTCTGCCCCTCTTCCCCGGTTTGCAGACCTGGACTTGGCTGTGCCAGAGACCGTCAGACTGGACAGCAGTTTACACAAGGCCCGAGCCCAACTACTGGCCAAGGGCCGGAGACACAGGCCCTCCCGCTCGAGGCTTCGGGACAGTGCCAGCTCTGCAGAGGATGGTGAAGGCTCCGATGGGCCCGGAGGCAAGGTTGGGGCAATCCACCCAATCGCACATACCCCACCCACCCTTCTTGCTCCTGGATAATCCCTCCAAACCACTCTTCCAGGGAAACCACACCCCTAGACTTCTGACATAATAAGGCTAACAAATATTAGCTGCAGTTCAATTCTGGCTCATCTCATCCTTTCAAGGAAGGTATTATCCCCATCTTCCAGACGAGGAAATTGAGGCTCTGAGAGGTTCACTAACAAAGTCACACAGTTAGTAAGTGAAGGAGGCGGGATCCAGCCCCAGCCTATGTGACCGGAAGTCCCATTTCCCACCTCTCGCTGCCCAGCCACCTCTCGGCCCAAGGCACGAGGAAACCCTCCCTCCAAGTCCCGGAAGGACCTAGGAGCCCGGGCTCCCCTCCGGGAAGAGGGGAGGAGGGTTGGCGGTGAGCGGCTGCCCCTTCCCCAGGTGACCGATGGCTGCGGGAGCCCCCTGCACCGGCTGCGCTCACCTCTGCACTCGGGCCCGGGGTCCCCAGCCGGGAGCTCCTTCTGCCTGGAGCCTCCGGGGTTGCGGCGCAGCCTGGACGAGGACGAGCCGCCGCCCTCGCCGCTCGCACGCTACCGGCCCCTGCACAACGCCGCCTCGCACGAGGGCCTGGCCGCCGCCTCCTGCTCGCCGCCGCGCTCCGCGCCCTCGTCCGACAGCTCGCCCAGCTTCGTGCGCCGCCATCCCCGCGCCGAGCCGCACAGCGAAGGTGAGCGGCGGCCGGCGCGGCGCCACCTGCTGGCAAGAGGTCCCTTGGGCGCCGAAGTGCGTGGCGGGATCCCAGGGGCAGGGTGGCTGGGGAAGGTGGGGAATAAAGACCACGGTTCTTTCACTCACTTCCCGAGCGCCTTAAGATGTGCCAGACACTGCTGGGCACTGACACACACAAAAGAGCAAGCAGATGCAGTTCTCGTCCTCACGGGGCTTATAGGTTCGAGGAGAAGCAATCAAATCATCCATTGATTAAACGTATAGTTACAAGGTGTATTAAGTGCTATGTGAGAAAACAGTGCGCGGGGCGGGAGAGCATATATCAGCGTGAAAGCATCCTGGAAGGCTTCTCTGAGGAAGTGACATGTGAGGCAAGATTAGAAGGTTGGCTACAAGCTGGACAAGATAAAATGAACAGTAAACAGCAGTGGTCCCTACTTTTTCAGCGTGGTTTATGGTTTGTAGAAGGCTTTCATCAACATCTTACTAGGTCTCATGAAATAGGCAGTGTCATTATCCCCATATTTGAGATGCAGGAAGCTCAGAAGGTAGTGACTTGTCCTAGGTCACACAGCTAGTGAAGGGCACCAGAGCCCTTCAGGTTGCCTGATTCTAAGTCGAGAGAATTCCTACCACCTCACTGGCAGCTGGAAGAGGCAGACAAGCCACCACACAGGCTATTTCCTTCCTTCTCTTCCACAAAAGATGACAGCCGGGATGCCAGCCCACCTGAGCCCGCCAGCCCTACCATTGGCCTGGATAAGAAGACTCGCCGAAAGTTCCTGGACCTGGGGTGAGTGGAAGAGGAGCCAAGAACAAAGGCTTGGGGATGGGGTAGCATAGTGGGCAGCACTATCCCGCTCCCCCTTGCCCTCCCCACAGGGTCACCTTACGCCGAGCATCCACTAGCAAGAGCCGGAAGGAGAAGGGCAGCAACCGTCTGTCCATGGGCAGCAGGTAAGAGGTACCCACAGCCCCTCAGCCACAGCTTTTGCCCCCAGCTCCCTGGGGGCCCCAGCCCTTGCCTTGGTGCCCACACCCATGCAGGGCACTCTCTCCACAGGGAGTCGGTGGAGGGGTCCGGCAGGTCAGGGGGCTCCCCGTTCCTGCCCTTTTCCTGGTTCACAGACAGTGGCAAGGGGTCGGCGTGTCCTGGCAGCACCACCTCCCCGGCCTGCTCCCCTAAACACGAGCGCTTCAGCCCTAAGAAGTCAGCTTCTCAGGTGAGTCTGTGGCCTTCTGGCTCCCATACTGGCCCCCAGACTCAGGTGACACGAAGACATATTTCACCCTGGCTTGGGCTGGGATCCAGGCATTCCTGGAGTCCATCTGTCTGTCCATGGAGCCATTCAGTGATCCATTAATTCATCCAGTTTCTGAGTTCAGGCATTCACTCATTCACTCGTTTATACGCTGAGTGCTTCCTTCATTGATTGGTTCATTGCTGCCTCCATGATCCCCTAGTACACACCTGGCCTGAGGGCTCCTCTATCCCTGCTAACTCTTCTGCCTGGCTCAGTTCTGGCCCCATGTCCTGTCTTAGGAGCTGGGCTACATGTGTGGTGTGGTGATGCTTGGGGGAAGCAGAGATGAACAGGCCCCCAACCTAGCTAGTGCTCAGAAAGTTCACATCCCTGTGGGAGAAGTGAGACCGAGTAGCAGAAGCAAGAATGAGCATCTGTTTACGTTCACCAGGACTCCGCAGTCTACAAAGCTCCGAGTGCCTGTTTTTGCTTTACTCTCACAAAGGCTCAGTGAGGTAGGGAAGGCAGACACACTCACCGCCATTGTACAGATGAGCAAATGCAAGCCCACGCTGAAGGGATCTGCCTGCAGACTCAGTTGGATTTAGGTGCCAGGCGCTATGACCCCCAGCCCTGTGCTTATTCTGTGATTCTGTTCCTTATGTGCAGCTGGGTCAGAGGAGATCAGAAAACTGGAAATTCAGGGCAGAAGGGGTCCCTCCCTTTCTTCCTTCCCTTGTGCTGGGCCCTGGTGAACAGACACAGCCAAGGCCCTCACAGAGCTCACAGTCCAGCGAGGACAAAGACATCTAACCAGGTTTTTACGAGCCAGGGTGCTAGAGGCCATGCTGGGGAGGCACAAGGCAGAGACGCCTGACCCAGCGGCGAGGGAATCCCAGTCAGCTGTCTAGAAAGCGACACCAGTCTGACCTCCTCCATTCCTGC